CTGTCAGAAATCATAGCACGTCAGCTGTCTTAACCGCGGCTTGTGTACTGCATCATCACTGTGTCTGTCACGCGACTCTGTTGCCCTTTCGGGCTTGAACTGATGGTAAAACTAACAACATTATTAACTGTCTTGATATTTACTTTGAAAGCTTGAAGCTCGCGATTATGGTAAGGGGCGTTACTTTTCCGACGCGTGCTTGTGGTGTTCGGCCAATCACAATGCACTGGGTCAGCTGGCCAATCAGAGCAGACTGCGCTTGTCAAAGGAAGGGGCTTTGTTGAAAACGACGTGTTTGAGAGAGGCGGGGCATAGAGGACCTACAATAATGTACAGTATTTGAAAAATAATGTGTTTTTTGAACATAAAAGCATGTCAGCATATTCTGTTAAACCAAATACACAAAATAGTGATCTTTAAAATAGCATCATATGACCCCTTTAAAATAAGAAGAAATATCTGCCAATGGGGTAAGAAAAATAAACTTAATTCAAAAAGAAAAATTTGTTTATTTTTCTTACCCAACTGGCAGATTTTTTCTTGTTGTAAGCAAACAACTTTTTCTTTTTTTTTTTCAAGAAAACAAGACTTAATATCTTATGTAAATTTTCTCCTCAAATAAATGTATTTTAAATATTTGAAATGGAAAAGACAAAATACTGAGTAAGAAAATCATTTTATAATGCAGTTTTTCTGATTTTAGCTGAAAACCTATGGGATTCTGTAGAATGTATTTAAACAGGGTAAAATGTGTTAAATACTGTGTGGGCCTTAAAGTGGCTATCTTAGGTTGGTTAAAACTGGTTAAGCTGGTTTTACAAGCTGATGTTCAGTTGGTTTTGTTGGTCAGCCCAGCTGACAAGCATTCAAACCACTCTAAAACAATCAAAACAAACCAGCCTGACCAGATCTATGGTCAACTAAGACCAACAAGTAGGCTAGTCTAAGCTATTTTTTTCTCAGTAGGGCTGCTTGTAACCCACCAAACATTTACATCCCATCTCTTGGGTGCAGGCATCCAGAGTAATCCACCCTGAAGAGACTAAGTGCAACCACAAAAGTCAAAGATGGTGTCCTCCAGGTGACTACCTTCGGCCCAATAAACTTGGGTGGTAATTATCTAGAAGACTGCGTCCTTTATAAAACATGCACACAAGAAGCAAGCGACTCACAAATAACGTCACAAACACCTCTTTATCATGTTCTGCCGCTTTACTGTCGTGCATCTCCTCGTGGTCCTGGGATACCAGGGGCAGGCTGGTGTCGTGAACGTGATTGTGGTTGTGACGAAAGCCGCCCAGACTGTTGACAGAGTGGTTCCGATGGAAAAGGCCTTCTTTCTCATCATTGGGGTGACTGGACAAGAGAAAGTATTTTGATAAAACTAGTGAGCAATATTTCATGTAAGAATGTAAAATGCACCCACATTAAAAAGAAAAATATATATACAGTATATTGATCAGTATTTTTGTCTGCAAACATTCTTAAAACAAGATAAATG